AAGATTCTCTCTCTCTCCCTCTCCCTTTGCCCTTCCTCTCTCTCTCAAAAAAATAATAATGAAGTAACAACTGACAGATAAATACTGAATATTGCCATTTTGTTATTTATTTTATGTTTTATATCTTTTTGTCCCTCATTTCCTCCTTTACTATTTTACTTTGCATTTAGTTGATTTTTTTAGTGACATGTTTTGATTCTCTCCTCTTTTCCTTTTGTGTATATTCTATAGATATTTTCTTTTTGATAACCGTAGGGATAACAAAAACATTCTATAGTTATAACAATCTATTTTAAACTAATAAACTTGCTTCTGTTTGATTTGGGTTTAGCTTGCTTTTATTTTTCTAGTTTCAAAGGATAGAAGGTTATGTTATTGTTTTGAGGTCTTTCTTTGTAGATCCTACTGTGTATAAACACAGTAGCCAGAAGGGGGGCTAGGCAAGGGAGAATTTTCTTTTTTAAAGATTGTTTGCTTGCTTGATTGATTTGCAAGAGAGAGAGCGCACGCACGCGCATGCACATCCATGTGCGCCCGTAAGCAGGTACAGTTCCACTCCACCCACTTTATGTTATTGAAGTCACAAATTGTATCTTTATATATTCTATAACCTTTAACATAGATTTATAGTTTCTTATGCTTTTGTATTTTAAATCTTATAAAAGAATAAAAGAAATGGAATTACCAAACAAAATTACATAATATGGGTTTTTATATTTGTCCTTACTTTTACCTTTACCAGAGAACTTTATGTTTTATTGTCTAGTATCCTTTCATTTCAACTTGGACACCGTCTAGCATTTCTTGTAGGGTAGATCTAATGGTAATGAATTCCTTCAGTTTTTGTTTATCTGGGAATGTGTTTGTTTTTCCCTTGTTTTTGAAGGGTAGTTTCACTGGATATGGTATTCTCAGATGTCAGGTTTTCTTTTAGCACCTTAAATATGTCATCCCACTGCCTTCTGGCCTTTAGTGTTCCTGCTGAGAAATATGCTTATTGAGTATGCTTTTTACATAATGAGCCACGTTTCTGCTTTCAAGATTATCTCTTTATCTTTGAAGTTCTGTAGTTTGATTAAAATCTGTCACAGTATGGGTTCCTTTGGGGTTTTCCTACATGGAGTATTTGTTGAGCTTGTATTTGTAAATCCATGTATTTCCTCAAACCTGGGAACTTTTCAGCCATTATTTCTCCAAATAAGCTCTCTTCCCCTTTCTCTCTCTATTATTCTTCTGGGACTTGTACAATGCATATATTGGTCTGCTTGATGGTATCCTATAAGTCCCTTAGACTATTTTCATTTTTCTTCATTCTATTCTTTTTGATGTTCAGATTCAATAATTTCAAATAACTTGAATTCAAGTTCATTGATTCTTTCTTTTGTCTGTTCAAGTCTACTGTTGAACACTCAAGTGAATTTTTCTATTTAGTTACTGTGTTTTTAAGCTCTAGAATTTTGGTTTGGTTCTTTTTTTATAATTTCTACCTCTTTGTTGATACTCTCATTCTGTTCACATATCATTTTCCTGATATGGCCATCTGTTCATGTTCTCTTTGAGAATACTTAAGACAATTGTTTTAAAGTCTTTGTCACATAAGCTCCAGGCGTATGTTTCTTTAAGGTCAGTTTTCTGGAGATTTATTTTGTTATTTTGAATGGGCCAATACCATTTCCAACCATATCCATGTTTCTCTGTTTCTTTGTATGCCCCATGATCTTTTGTTGAATATTGGGCGTTTGAAAAAATGGCCACCTTTCCTAGTCTTTGCAGACTGGCTCCCCTACTCAGCTGGTCATGCAGGTCATTTTAAAAATGTTTTTTTCTGATGTCTCCTTCTTTCCTTCCCTCCTTCCCTCCCTCCTCCCTCCTTTCCTCCCTCCATCCCTTCCTTCCTTCCTTCCACCCTAGGTTAGACTCAGGTAATTGGTTGTCATTCTTTTATGTTCTCTGATATAAGATGTTTTACATTTGTAAGTATCCTTAAGCCCCACTTCTGTGGCATTTCTACAACAGTTTTGCAATGGTTAGTGTTTTTATTACTATTTACTTGTAAATCATTTTTAATTTCTAATTAACTAAATTAACTTCTAAATTTTAGTTAACTAAATTAATTAACTTAATTGATTAATCAGTCATGAGTTCTACTCAATTGTATTTTGGTTAGAGAACGTGATTTATATCAGGGGTTGGCAAACTTTTTCTGTCAAGGACCAGAGAGTAAATATTTCAGGCTTTGCAAATCCATACAGTCTCTGCTGCAACTACTCCACGGTGCTCTTGTAGCATGATATATCAACAAATAGGCAGGTGTGGCTACATTTTGATAAAATTATTTACAAAAAATAGATAGTAGGCTATATTTGGCCATGCCAATCTGCAATGTACATGATACCTGCTATTTTGTTCAGGTTTGCTTTTAGAGCAATTTTTTATATGTCCACATGTGCCAAAGAATGTTTGTTTTCATCTTATATATGTCCATTAAGTCATGTTTACTAACTGTTCAGTTCAGATTACCTGAATCTGTAGATTTTTGCCTTTCCGTGACCCATCACTAATTGAATGTGTATTAAAATCTCCCTGAGGGTGGTTTTGTCCCTCTCTTTTGACTTGCTCTTTCCCCAGTGATGTTTTTGTCACAAAATCTACTTCGGTAATTACAAAATACTAGCTCTCTTTTTATTCTTTACTAACGTATCTTTCTCTGGCTTTAATTTTTAACCCTTCTGCATCAATGTTTGTATGTTTCTTACTAACATCAGATGGCTGACTTTTATCCAGTCTGACAGGTTATTTTTTTTTTTTATCACCAAGCTCAAACCATTTACATTTTTTGTTTTCTTGGTTTTCTTAAGGCCAACATAAACTTCAGCCAGAGTTAACCACATTTCTTTTCATATCTCTTTTAACATTATCTGGATTTATCTCTTCTTACTTTGAGTATTTCCTCCAAAACATTTTCATGGTGGATCCTTCCTGTGGCAAACCTTTTGAGGTCTTAAAAGCCTAAGAATATTTTTTATTATACTCTCTTATATGAGTAACTGGGTAAAAAAGTCTAGGTTCTGAGGTTTTTTCCAATATATTAAAAATACTACTTTATTGTGTATCTTGATCTCTCTTCTTTTGTAGGTGATATGATCTTGTTTTTTAGAAACTTTCAGAATTTTTCTATCTTTGATACTCTCAAATTCTATATATTTCATCCTACATGTCTAGATATCAATTTTTCCATATCTTATTTTTTTTCCTAGTTCTACGAAAAATGTTGGTATTTTGATAAGGATTGCATTAAGTCTATAGATTGCTTGGGTGATACAAACATTTTCACAATATTGGTTGTTCTAATCCATGACCATGGAATATCTTTCCATTTATTTGTGTCATCTTTAATTTCTTTCATCAGTGTTTTACAGTTTTTGGAGTACAGTTTCACCTCCTTGGTTAGGTTTATTCCTAGGTATTTTATTATTCTTGGTGCAATTATAAATGGGATTATTTTTTTAATTTCTCTTCTGCTACTTCATTATTAGTGTGAAGAAACACAACAGATTTCTGTATATTAATTTTGTATCCTATGATTTTGCTGAATTCATTTATCAGTTCTAGTAGTTTTTTGGAGTCCTTTAGGGTTTTCTATATAGTATGGTATAGTGGTACCATGTCATCTGCAAATAGTGAAAGTTACTTACTCCTTACCAATTTAGATTTCTATTTCTTTTTCTTATCTGACTACTGTGGCTGGGACTCCCAGTACTGTGTTGAAAAAAAAGTAGTGAGAGTGGGCACCCTTGTCTTATTCCTGATCTTAGAGGAAAAGCTCTTAGTTTTTCACCTTGAATATGATGTTAGCTGTGGGCTTTTCATATATGGCCTTTATTATGTTTCCATATCTTACATGATCAGCACTCATGGAGGCTTTCAACCTAAGGCCATTTGACTTTCTTTAATTGTGTGAAATCTACCTGTATTATTTCCTTAAATATTTCCTTCTCTCTTCTTTCTCTGTCCTGTGGGACCCATTATGTAGATATTGGGCCCTTCTGTCATCCTCCATCTGCCTTTACTTTTCCTATATGGTTTCTCCGCTTGCATTTTCCTCTTTGTGTACCTCCCTCCTCGAGCATCGTCTGGTCCTCCATCTGACTCCACTCTGACTTGGTCTTCAGCAGTGTCCATTCTTCTGCAGATCCCATCCCTTCAACCACTGTGTTGCTCAAATTTAATATCTACACTTGGTTCTTTTCTATAATTCCTTGTCTTTCTGCCATGCTTATTTTAACATCTTGGGCCTTCCTTCTCTTCCAGCGGTCAGAGTTGTCATTTCGTAGTTTTTTTCTTTGCAGCAACTGTGCTCCTCAGGGTTCTGTGCAGCAGAGACCCCTCCTTGCAGTGCATGTTGCAGAGGAGCCCAGGCAGACCATGGTGCCAGTGCACCCAGGCATGCAAGAGTCCTGGGCAAGACCCAAGGGCAGAGGCCCCAGGATTGTAAAACCAAGGCCAGCCACTGCCTCCCAGATGCCTCTTCGCCCCTAGACTTGACCTCAGGCCCCCAGAGAGCATCCACATTAGGGAACAACTCCTCCAGGATGGCCATCCACCCACCTCTCTCCCCTAATATCCTACTTCCATCCTGCTCTGGAAGGCCAAGCTACTATGGCCAGTAATCAGTGCAGTTGCAGGCCAGCGGTGACTGTGCCAGCAGACTTAGGGGACACAGAGGAGCGGAACCTACCCTGGTTTTCTTTGCTGTATCCTTGCACTGTGTCCCTCCCCTGCGCCCTGCCACTCCACCCCGCATGCCCCGGCTTAGGCGTTTAGCTTGCCTGGGACTTCCAGCATGTGGAGAAATTGTTCTCATCCATCTGTGGTTTCTCCAGGGGGTGTCTGGGGGTCAGATGGTCAGACACAGGGTCTCTGCCAGGCCAGGGAAGCCCAGCACCTTCCAGGTCTCCTCACTGACACTTGTACTCAACTGTCACGCTTTGTGTCCACAGGGTCTGAGGAAGAGAGAGCTGCTGAAGGAGCTGCTGCCAGTCATCGGGCAGAATCTCCGCTTTCAGCGCCTCTTTACCGAGTGTCAGGAGCAGCTCGACATCCTGAGGGACAAGTAGCCTACCCAGGCCTTCCCTGGCTGCAACAAGGGCAGGGCCACACACTCGCCGCTGACAATGCACAGGGCCACCTCTCACCTCGTCAGACTACAGAAGGACGAGGAGACACTGGCACAAGGTGGGCTGTCCTGTGCCAGCGCTGGCCCAGCTCCCTGGGCGGACTTCCCCCATATCCTGGGCCTGTTGCTCCCTCAGAGGGGGGCAGCTCTGCCCGCCACTCATCCCTCCCTCCAGGACCCCTGTGCAGAGCTGGGGTTGGAGCCCTGCCCTGCTGCCCTGGGGTCAGTGAGGCACTCCCAGGCCTGCCGTTTCCAGCACGGGCCCGAGGTGGACACTAGTCCCTGCCACAGCAGGCATCGTGCTGCTTCAGCTATGACGAATGAGCCATTTGTGAAAGAGACCCCGGAAATGTTAGTGTATTATGCAGTCAGTAGACTGACCCAAGACCTAGGTAAAAGGAAAGGCTATTCCAACGTGGACTATTTTTGTACTAGAATTTGCTAACTTGTAATATGGAATTTTCCTTTTGGCCAATAATCAGGATTTCCCTATAAGTCACTTGGACATTGGTCACTTGTAGGAAATTTAAACTCTAATTATGACAGCTACATTGAAAAATAATTGTACTGAAATTAACTTGTCTATCTTCATTTGGTTTTAATTTTTAAATGTTTGTAAAAAGAGACTGTTTTTTGGGGAATGGGGCAGAGGGGTGGGCGATTTCTTTTGTAAGTGTAAAATAAATGAACACGCATTGGATACCAAATCATCCTGGCTTCCCCTGCCTTTTCCTTCTAACTTCCACCTTCCTCCCCTGCCGTAGCTCCCTCTCCCAAAATGGGCAGTTATGGAACATCAGAACTGGAAGGAATCTTTGATGTCCTCTAATGGCCCCAACTTCTCTGTGCAGAAATTCATTACCCAGCATGGAGGTCACTTCATTGACCATGAAGCATCTGAGGCTTCTGGGGCTAGCAGATAGGCCACCTCACCTGAGGCTCCACCCAAGCCAGTCATCAAGGTCCTTGCTTCTGGCTGTGCTGTGCCCCTTGGTCCCCAATCATGCTGGGCACCGAGGGCTACAGCTGGCTTGCCAATTTTGTGGAAGGAAATCATTAAGTACAGACTGGGGTTTTCTGAAGAATTATCTGAAAGCTGTGATTTTCCTAGAATGTGGTCCAGAAGCTGACCCACAGGAGAGGAAATAGCTAGAATCACAGAATCTTCAAGCATGGTGAGGATGGAGCACCTTTACCTCTGTATTATGCACCTCTCTGTTGCCTCCCTGCCAGCTGGGTGGGATCCCAAGTCTCAAGAAAGAGGCGTGGATTTGGAATTAGAAGACCTGGGTGACTCTGGCCACTGGTATCCCCTCTCTGGATGGTTTCCTACCTAGTGGCCATCTTACTGCCTTCTCATTCATGTCAGGCAGCTGGATGAGACACAGGCATACAGGCATGCCTGACAAAGCCAGAGCACAGAGTGCATGTGGGTATGAACACCTCAGAGGCCAGGCTGCAAGTATGAGCTATTCTTAAAGGAATGAGGAGCCAGGTATGCCATGCAGGTCAGGCAGCTCCCCTGGCAATTCGGCATCAAGGCATGGAGAACTCTGGAGCCACAGGATGCACATGGCCTTGGGACTGACAGGCTTGTCCGGAATCCAGACCAGCAAAAATCTGGGCCTACTTTTCAGCTGTCAATTGGAGATGAGGTTAAGAAAACCTGCATGGTTGTGAGGACTAACCAGGATCACACAGGCAAAGTCCTGGTGCTTAACAAATGCCTCTTTGAAGAAAACTTTTAACAGTCAGTGTTTTACAGTATTATTTGTGGGTTTTTTGTTTATTTTTTAAATAGGCTCCATGCCCTGCTCAGAGCCCAACGTGGGGCCTGAACTCACAACCCTGAGATCAGGACCTGAGCTAGGATCAAGAGTCAGATGCCCAACAACTGAGCCACTTGACACTGTTACTTGGAGAGGAGAGAAAAATGAAAGATGTCATGGACTTCTGCTTCCAGCCAAGATGGAATAACAGGAACCAAATTTACCCACCTATCTGAACCAACCAAAAAAGCCAGTCAACATACATGAAACAATGATCTCAAGACACTGAATATCAGAAAACAAAGGACAATAATCCTGGGAGATGGAAAAAACAAGATGATCCCTATGACTGCCCCAGCTTACTATCCAGAGAGTTTCCAGGCTGTAGCAAAGGGAGGAGAAGCTGAGGTAGAGCCCAGCTGACTACTTGAGTCGAAGAAATAAAGCTGAGAACCCAGGGAGACCAGGGCAGCTAGAGTTCACAGGACAGAATACCAGAAAGGAAAAGCTCCATAGAGAACCTTACCCTCAGTAGAGAAAGCCCTATCCTATCAGTGCATATTTAACTAAGCACTGATCAGGGTGTAGAAATGAGACAGCCAAGGGTAGACAGAGAACCACCTGAAAGGATTAGAGTGAAAATTGTTTAGGTATCACTTAGGGCTAAGAACAGTACCTGTTCCTACTAACCAGATTAGAAAACCTTGTAACTCACAGGCTTGGAGTAGAGTACTCAGGAAGTATTGCCTAAATATTGAATACTTAGAATACTGCTCCAGATTCATCTAACAAAAATAAAAGCAAGACCCAAAAGGATCAAACTGTTTCCAACTAATTACATTGCAAAGCAAATTTCAAGAGGTTTTATAACAATACTAAAGTATGCAACATCCAACAAAGTAAAGTTTACAATGTCTGGCATCCAAACAAAGACTACCAGGCACAAAAAGCAAGGACATGATCCAAAACGAGAAAAATCAATCAAAACTGACCCTGAACTTACACGGATATTAAAATTAGCAGAGGATATTAAAATGAACACTATCCATTATGTTAAAAAAAAATTGAGTGCAAACATAGAAGACCATAAGAAAGCCACAAACTTCTAAAGATGAAAAAGATGAAATAATTGCAGAAGAAAAGATTTGTGAATGTAAAGCCATAGCAATAAAAATGCTCCAAAACAGAAAAAAATTCATAAAAGGAAAGAAAAAAAAATAGTGTCAATACGCCATAGGACAATGTCAAGTAACACAATATACAAGCAATTGAAGTCCTCAAAGGACAGGGGAGAAAAGGAGGTGACAGAAAAAAGTATTTGGAGAAATAATGGCAAAAAAACTTGTCCCACCCTTATTCTTTGTGCTTCTGCTGGTGATCCCTGTGCCACTGTCCCTTTTCTCCTCACCCCTACTCCTAATGCCTGCTGACCTCCCTACTCTGTCCACTGATGCCCACACCTTCCCACTACCTCTGCTTGCTGACCTTATTTGTAAGCAGAACACTGGGGCCCTCTATCTTCCAGGGCTGGGACTTCTTGCCTTTCAGAGTTCTGACTTGATCATCTTGGGCACCTCCCAGCTGTAGCCTCCAGACCACGTATGAGGAGTCAGAACCCTTTACAAATTAGGTTGGTGCAGTGAGAGGGTGTATATACACATAGCAGGGACACTCAAGAGAACAAAATCCATCATCTCTTCCCATATTTGATCTCTATCCCTGTCCTTTCACATACATGGCACGTATTTTCTCCAGATTGTTTTTCATCTTTAAATGTTATTGGTGTTGGGGCGTCTGGGTGGCTCAGTCGTTAAGCGTCTGCCTTCGGCTCAGGTCATGATCCCAGAGTCCTGGGATCGAGCCCTGCATCGGGCTCCCTGCTCTGCGGGAGGCCTGCTTCTCCCTCTCCCACTCCCCCTGCTTGTGTTCCCTCTCTCGCTGTGTCTCTGTCAAATAAATAAATAAAATCTTTTTAAAAATAAATAAATAAATAAATGTTATTGGTGTTTTGGTTTTAAGTTTGTAATTTTTGTGAAATTTAATTATTCTTTTGTATCTTAAATTTAATTAAAATTTAATTACTTTTGTAATTAATTATTTTGAACTTAGGACACTTCGCCAAAGGTACATGGATGGCAACTAAAATAAGTACATGAAAAGATGTTCAACATCATTAGTCATTCAGAAAATGCAAATGATAGATGATAAAACCACAATGATATAACAAGACATACCTATTAGAATGACTTTTTTTTTTTTTTTAAGAATCAGCTCCCTTCTATTTATTTCCTGGAATTTCCATTTGTTTGAATTCAACTTCTCCATACATTTCAGTATTAACTTTCTGCTCTGTCTGATATACAGTTTTTCCCTTTGTCCATATCCTACTTTTTTTTTTAATTTAAATTCAATTAGCCAACATACAGTATATCATTAGTTTTTGATGTAGTGTTCAATGATTCATTAGTTGCATATAACACCCATTATATATCCTACTGAATATTAGTAAGAATGTGCAGCAACTAGAACATTTATACATTGCTAGCAGGAAGGCAAAACAGTCACTTTGATAAAGTTTGACAGTGCCTTATAAAGTTAAAAATACAAACCATAGGACCCATTCCTGTTTTTGGTTTGGTTTTGTTTTTAAAGATATAAAACATTTTCATCAACACAAGAATGCCTCATGTTGGGTGCCTGGGTGGCTCAGTCAGTTGAGCAACTGCCTTCGGCTCAGGTCATGATCCCGGAGTCCCAGGATCGAGTCCCGCATCGGGCTCCCTGCTCGGCGGGGAGTCTGCTTCTCCCTCTGACCCTCCCCCCTCTCATGTGCTCTCTCTCTCTCATTCTCTCTCTGTCAAATAATAAATAAAATCTTTAAAAAAAAAAAAGAAGGCCTCATGTTGCCCTTTAAAAAAATTTACTTAAATATAATTCACATAACATGCAGTTTACCTATTTAAAGTGTACAATTCAATGGTTTTTAGTAGAGTTACACACATATGCACAACCATCGCCACAGTCAGTATTAGAACATTTTTATAAACTCAAAAACTCCACAGCTTTATTATGACCCATTCCTGTCATGCCAAAGCAATCACCAATCTACTTTCTGTCTCTATAATTTGCCTATTCTGGATATTTCATATAAATGGAATCATAGAATATGTAGTATTTTGTGACTGGCTTACTTCACTTAGCATAATGTTTTCAAGATTCAACCATGTTGTAGCCTGTATTAGTACTTCATTCCTTCTTACAGTCAAATAATATTCCATTGTTTGGAATACCACATTTGGCTTATCTATTCATCCACTGATGGACATTTGGGTTGATTTCACCTTTTGACGATTATGAGTAATGCTGCCATCAACATTTGTGTACACGTTTTTGTATGGACGTTTTCATTTCTCATGAATGTATACAGAGGAGTAGAATTGCTGGGTCTTGTGATGAGCACTGGGTGTTATATGTAACTAATGAATCATTGAATACTACATCAAAAACTAATGATGTACTATACAGTGGATAATTGAACATAATAAAAAAAAAGAATTGCTAGGTCATATGGTGACTCTATAATTAACTGTTTAAGGAACTTCTAGACTACATTCCAAATGGCTGTACCATTTTACATTTGTTATCAGCAATATATGAGAGTTCTGATTTATCCTCATTCTCACCAATTAGATTTTTTTTTTTAAAGATTTTATTTATTTTTCAACAGAGAGAGACAGCGAGAGAGGGAACACAAGCAGGAGGAGTGGGAGAGGGAGAAGCAGGCTTCCCGCTGAGCAGGGAGCCCGATGTGGGACTCGATCCCAGGACCCGGGGATCATGACCTGAGCTGAAGGCAGACGCAGAACAACTGAGCCACCCAGGCGCCCTTCACCAATTAGATTCTTATTATCTAACTTTTTTATTATAGCCATCTGAGTGAG